AAAAAAAAAAAAAAAAGAAATTTAGATAATACAGACTACTAGACACCTAGACAATATGGTACATGTATATGTATATACACATATGAAACATGGAATGTGTATGTATATCTGTACATATATTCATATCATGCTGCTTATTGCCCCTAAGGCCATCATCAATTAAACAATAAGTGATTCAGTCACTAAGAGAACATGATGCAAGTGAGATTCAGTAAAGAGATGCATGAGATCTATGAAGGCTATTGCCCTCATCACATTGCACACTCTTTATTTTATGAGTGGTTTGCTTGCGTGCATATTTGTCTGCACACCATGTGTACGCAGTTCTGGCAGAGGCCAGAAGAGGGCGTCAGATCACCCAGGACTGGAGGTGCAGGAAGTTGTAAGCCAGCCACCCTGCGAGTGCTGAGGATTGAACCTGCATTTCCCTGGGGAAGAGCAGCCGATGCTTTTAAGAGCTGAGGCCTGTCTCCTGCCCCAGCATACTCTGTTTTAGTAAACTACACACACATAGGCACACACTCTAAGATCATGATTGAAAGCCGTAGCAGAGTAAATCCATGAACCAGTAACATCGCTGTTATAAAAACCAAGCATTATGTTGTGATTAGTAAAATTGTTGTGCTATATTTTTATAAGACGTGAAACACAGCATGTTGATTAGTAGCTCTTCGTCACGTGTGTAATGATGTGTAGGGAGAACACTGCTAGGATGGCTGTAGTTCCATCATGCCATAGGAAGGATGTTTTATATATGTATATATGTATATATATATATATATATATATATATATATATATATTTTTTTTTTTTTTTTGAGACAGGGTTTCTCCATGTAGCCCTGGCTGTCTTGGAACTGGCTCTATAGACCAGGCTGGCCTCGAACTCAGAGAACCCTCTGCCTCCCAAGTTCTGGAGTTAAAGGTATGTGTCACCACTGCCCAGCGATGAATTATTTTTAAAAATGTGTATGTGTGTGTGTGCCTGAGTGTGTATACGTGCACCACATGTGTGCAGGAGCCCTTGGAGGTCAGAAGAGGGCGCTGGATGCCCTGAAACTGGAGTTCCAGGCAGTTGTGAGCCTCCATGTGGGTGCTGGGAACTGAGCCAGGGCCCTCTGCAAGAGCAGCCAGAGCTCTTACCTGCCAAGCAGCCTCTTTAGCCCCAGGAATGGGAAGTTTCTGCTTTATCATCTCACGAGACCACACTTCAGCATGCTGTCACTGAGGACAGTGACATTGCCGTGTAGCACTTGACCGTAAACTGTGACCTTTCATGAATGACCTCGTAAGTTTTACTAATGGGGAGGATGCAGTGCCAAAGAAAGGTATTTTAATGTGGTCTAACTGAGAAGTGTCCCTTGACCCAGTAAAAGAAAAGAAAAGAAAAGAAAGCAAAACCTCTCCTCTCCTCCCCTCCCCTCCCCTCCCCTCCTCTCCTCCATGCTTATGCAAACAACCCTATTTAACTTAGTGGACACACACTTGCACACACACACACACACACACACACACACACACACGTGAAAGCAGAGAGGAACTTGTTGGGGAAGAGGGGTTTCATCGGGGAGGGGAGTGGGGCAGGGGAATGGGGAGTAAAAACGGCTAAAATTCATTACCAACCTTCATGAAACCGTCAAAGGATAAATAAGAAGCATGCGTCCACAGGAATGTGGAAACGTGAGCCTTTCTCACACAGCTGTCTCGCGTGGGTGGTGAGGCTTTCCTCTGCAGGGCCAGCCAGGGTCCAGCTTCCTCCTTTTTGCTATTCTGTCACGTTAAAAACGTTTAATTTAGCCGGGCGGTAGTGGCACTTGGGAGGCAGAGGCAGGGGGATCTCTGTGAGTTCGAGGCCAGCCTGGTCTCCAAAGCGAGTTCCAGGAAAGGCGCAAAGCTACACAGAGAAACCCTGTCTTGAAAAAACCAAAAAAAACAACAAACAAACAAAAAACATTTTATTTATTTATTCAAACCCTATATAGTGTGTTTTGATCAGTCCCTCCCAATGCCTCTCATATCCTCATCCCCATCTCCCTCACTACTTCATGTACCTTTTTTTTAAAAACTCCTGAGTCTGATTGGTGATATATATATGAGTGTAGCGCCATCTCCTGCAGCGTGGGCTGCCTATCATGGATGGCCACATCCAGAAGAAAACTGAGACCCCCTCCTCCATTAACCATCAACTGCCCAGAGTGCCGCCTCCGGGTGGAGGTTTGTGAGCCCTCCCCCATCCTTGCTGGGATTTTGATTGGCTCGATCTTATGCAGGACTTGTGCTACCGTGAGTTCACGCGTGCACTGGGCCCGTCATACCCAGAAAAAAACAAACTTGAAGCTTCTCTTCCCAGTGCTTCCCTCTTCCTGCCCCTCGTCTGCAATGATCCCGGAAGCCCGGAAGGAGGAGGTGTGACTGGTCATAGATGTCCCACGTAGGGCGGGCCGGACTCGCCACAGTCTCTTCACACTGCAGGTCGATGACCAGTTGGGGGTCTCTGTCCTAGTTGCCATCGCCGCCGGTAAAAACAAACTTCTCTGGTGAGACTGAGAGAAACAAAACAGTGATCCGGTGGTTCAGGGAGGTCAGATCCCAGAGGAGCTCGGTGCCCCTGGGGTACGGAGGAGTGGGGCTTGCCTGGCAGAGCCTACCATGTGTTTTTCTGGTTTTTAAAAATTGATTTATTATTTTGTATTTGTGTGTATGTGTGTGTGCACGTGTGCGTGTGTGTGTGTGTGTGTGTGTGTGTGTGTGTGAGTTTATGTGTACCGTGTGTGCAGTAGCCCACAGAACCAGAGAGGGCGTCTGGTCTCTGGGAACTGGAGTTACAGGTGGTTGTGATCTGCCTGATATGGGTGCTGGGAACCGAACCCAGGTCCTCTACAAGAGCACTGTTGACTGCTGAGCTATCTCTCCAGCCGTCTTCTCATGCTGTCCCTGTCCTCATGATTGAGGTGACCTTCGAGGGAAGCAGAAGGGAACAAAGGGCAGGAAGATGTCCTTCTTGAGCAAGGCCTATGGCAATTCTACCCACCTTCGATTGCTTTCCGCTATCCCAATTCAAAACAAAACCAAAACCACACCCTCCCTTGGCGATAAGGGTGGCCTTTAATGGTTCTAACTTGGTTTGTGGTAAGAATGATGAGCGGCGCTGGTTACTGCATGGAAAGGTCATGAGCCACGACAAAACCCAGTATCAGAGCTTTGTTAGGAGGTGGGAGGCAGAAGAACCAGGCCTGGGGGAGACGCACATGCAGAGAGCAGAGAGAGAGACAGAAAAGAGATGGGGGGGGGAGAGAACAGAGAAGGGGGGGTCTGTGTCGGCTTTTTAAGGGTCCCCCGAACATGCGCAGGCGGGTTTACAGAGCTACACCACACATGCGCTGATTGCGTGACCTCGCCAGCCATGCGTAGGTAATCACCAGCGTGCACTGATGAGGTAAGATGCAGGACCCCTTACTCAGCTCCTGAACTGCGCGTGTGCGGTCATGCAGC